CTCCCTCTCCCTCCCTCTCCCTCTCTCTCCCTCTCTCTCCCTCTCCCTCTCCCCCCTCCCTCTCTCTTCCTCTCCCTCTCCCTCTCCCTCTCTCTCCCTCTTTCTCTCTCCCTCTCTCTCCCTCTCTCCCCCCCTCTCTCCCTCTCTCCCTCTCTCTCCCTCTCCCTCTCTCCCTCTCTCCCTCTCTCTCCCTCTCCCTCTCCCTCTCCCCGCTGCCTCCTTCCCTCTCTTCTTCCCCTCTTCTATCATTCATGCCCTTTTGAGGTTACTGACGTTCCTTCTGGTCCCATTGTAGGTACCTCTACTGGACAGAGTGGGGCGGAAAGCCCAGGATCGTCCGGGCCTACATGGACGGAACCAACAGCATCACTCTGGTGGACAAAGTGGGTCGGGCCAATGACCTGACCATTGACTACGCAGACCAGAGGCTCTACTGGACTGACCTGGACACCAACATGATCGAGTCTTCAAACATGCTGGGTACGTGTGTAGTTAAACTGTAAGCACCAATTCCTCGACAGCAAAGGCTGTGGTCGATGGAGTCCATGGCCAGCATGGCCAGGGCAGAGGGCATGAACCTGGACAAAAGGGGCCTGGATCCACTCATACTTTAGGGTTCCAAAAGTGAAACAGACAGAAAAAACAGCGCAAGTCCTTCCTGTGTCTTGGGTCAGTTCGATTCGACCAGCATTAATTGGACACCTTCTGTATGCCAGGCACTATGTGATGTGCCTGGAGGTACTAAGAAAGGAAGCAGTCATGCCTGTCCTCAAAGAGCTTACATTCTACTGGGGAAAGGCAGCATGGACACCGATGAGGAAATATAGGCAAAGTAAACTCCGGGGCAGTGTGGTGCAGTAGGAAGAGCCCTGGATTTGGAATCAAGGGATCTGGGTTCAAATCCTCTCTCATCTTGGGAAAATCTCTTTACCTTTCTTGGCTGTGGATTCTTCTGTGGGTTGGACAAGATGACCTTTCCCTAGGGGGCAGCTTGGTGGCACAGTGAATAGAGCACTGGCCTTGGAGTCAGAAGGACCCGAGTTCAAATCCAGCCTCAGACCAAACACTTGACACTTACTAGCTGTGTGACCCTGGGCAAGTCACTTAACTGCATTGCCTAACCAAAAAAAAAAAAAAAAAAAGATGACCTTTCGCATCCTTGCCAGCTCTAAGAGGCATGTTCCCACAATCTTAATTTCAAGAGAGAGAGGGTACTGACAATTAGGGGAGACAGTGTGGGGATCAGGAAAGGCCTCATATGAAAGGTGCCACGTGAGCTGGGCACACAAGGAGGGTAAGGCTATATATAGAAAGGAAAGCAGTGCCCTTGTAAATCACACTCCACGGCATTTCTTGACTCCCTTACCTGGGGCCTGAGCTGGGCTGGTTCCAAACCCGGTTCTGATGCGGATGCCATTGGTGAAGGATGAAGCCTCAGGAGACACCTGAGAACGAGGACCAGCCCAGACTCAAGCTTTTGGCGCCATGGACAGCAGATCGGCCCTTCACTGGGCATGGAGGATTTGCAGGGGTCAGATTTCTTCTGGGCTTGGCCTGCATTTCAGTCTGTGCCTTCCTCCGGAGAAAGTAAACAGGCAGAGCATTGGAACGGAGAAAACCAAATCCTTTTCTTTTTGTCTCAGTTTTATTTCCCTGGCTCTAGTCCCAAGACATCCAGGTTCCCTGGGAGCAGCCCTGGGCAGCGAGGAGATCCTGCCACCCTCTCCTTTGTCCTGCCTGAGAATGGCTAAGGACAGCCTTCCTCGCTTCTCAGACCTGATTGCCTTAGTATGGGGTACTCCTGGGAAAGGAAAGCCCTTTACTGAGGCCGGTCAGCCCTTCTCTGAAACTTGGGGCCTTACCTGGATCACTGATCACTGAGAGGCTAGGCTACTGTCCACGATCACATGGCCTGTGTGTGTCAATGGTGGCACGTGAACCCAGAGCCACGCTCAACTCTCTGTCTGCTGCTCCAGCCAGAGAAGAAATACAGGAGTCTTTCCTGGCTCAGGCTGAGAGTGGGTTCAGCTTAGAAGGGAGAACTGTGGAGTGTGACCTCAGAGATCTAACCTTCTGGACAGTGACCTCAGAGATCTGATCCTCTGGACAGTGACCTCAGAGATCTGACCTCTGGACAGTGACCTCA